CCCCAGCCTAATTTGGCTATTATACTATTATTCTTTGCTACCAGGTATTGAACCCAGGGGTGCCTATCCATCACTATTGAGCTACATACCCAGCCCTTTTCATTTTGAGACAGGGTCTATCCAAATTGCTGAGGCTGGCCTCCCATTTACAATCCTCCTGCCTCAGCCTCCTGAGTCACTGGGATTACAGGCATGTGCCATTGCACCAGGCCCTAGCTTTTTAATTTAATTTAATTTTTATTTTTGGACAGTGCTGGGAATGGAACATGGGGTTTCACAGATGCCAGAAAAGCACTAACTCGCTGAGCTAGCCTCAACCCAGCCTTCACCACCAAACTTCTAACAGCCTCTGTAACCCGCCTCCTCTGTCCATTCATACCTCTGCTTAGGTTTTTATTTATCTAAGACAACTTTCCAACCCATTTAACCCTCAAGCACCTATACTGTTTTTTAAACGAGGTGCTAAGAATCAAGCTCAGTGAAATCAATAGTGTTTAAGACAGATATTCAAGAAACATGGCAGCTCTTAAGAACTAACCTTAACCCTAAACCCTCAAATGTTCCAGCAACTCACCACCTTCTCTCAAGGTTCTTAACCAGAGCGTTTGAAATATGAAATTCACAAACCAAGACCAAAACTCTCCACCCACAGGTGAGAAACCCACAGCAATATTCTTGCACCCACATCCCCAGCTAAAGGTTTATATAGCACTTGGGTCATTCCCATTGGTCCAAACTCATGCTAATTAGGGTTTGGAATCCTACTAACGCTATTGGTCAGTTCTCAACTGGAGAATTCCATTCAGAGATACCCCACTTCTATTTCCTCCCTGCAGGTCAGGAAGCAGGAGGTTGCTGTCCTGGGACAGTATGTGCTTGCAAGTCGCTGTTGCCCACCCAGGGCCACCAGTCCGGTGCTCCGAGGCTCTGCTGCCGCTTCGTGCAGGGCCCTGGGTTCGATCCTCAGCACCACATAAAAATAAATAAACGAAATAGAAGTATTGTATCCAACTACAAGTAATAAATAAATAAGTAAAATGCATTAGCCCACAAGATACAGTGGGCTATTTCTGTAACCTCAGCGACTCAGGAGGCTGAGGCAGGAGGATTGCAAGTTGAAGGTCAGCCTCAACCACTTAGGGAGACCTTGTCTCCAAATAAAACATTAAAATAGACAGGCATGTGGCTCAGTGGTGAAGCACCCCAGCAGTCAATTTCCAATATCAAAAGAAAAGGAAGATGTGGGGATGTGACTCAGTGGTAGTGACAAGGGTCTGTGGCTATGCACTGGCAGCGGACCTATGGGTCCCTGCTGAGAAGTGGCAGCAAAGTCGTGGAACAGTGGCCCCGAGTAGTTGGGAGCGCCTTGCTGCCTGGGGCCACCACAGGGCACCACCGATGTGAAACACTACCAACCAAGGCTGCCCACCTTTCGTCCTGTGGCCACCAGATATGGACACTGCATGGACGCCTGCTACAGAAGCCGGGTCCATGCAGCGCTACACACCAAACAGACCTCAAGTCCCTGCTTCCTGACCTGGAGCAAGAAGATGGAAGTGGGGCAGACAGTAACCAAATTGGGACTTGAGAGTTGACCAATAGCATTAGTTTCCAAAACTTAGCATAAATTTGGACCAATAGCATTGGTGCTTTTTCCAAACCCTCATTAGCATAAGGTGGGAACAATACCCCTGACCCCAAGGACTATATAAACCCCACAGGAGGCAGGGGAGACTGAGAAACTGTATTATCATTGTTTTAGAAGTCAAAATCCACTGTCATTTCTAAGTCCTAGACTCAGTAAAACCGTGGATTCAATTCTCAGTATCCACCCCCCCCAAAAAAAAAAAACCAACAGTAAGTGCGTGAAAGAGATCCTGAGAATGAAGTTTTTAGATGCGACTGGCACGCAGGGCCACGTTCTCCAATTCTGCTGGTGGGTGGGGGGTCTGCGTGAGGCTGAGAACTGTCGCCTCTGTCAAGGGTACACCATGTCCTCCTGTGGGGCAGCCCCCGGCCGCTCACCATCCATTTCTTCTTTCCCAATTCTTGTGTGAATTTGAAGAACGAAATCCACACTTCAGGATGAGTGAGTACAAGTCCTGGAAAAAGAACAAAGAACCGGGGTGTCCTGTGCCAGAGGGTGACAGCAGGTTTTCTCCCATAGAATGTTCTAGCATGGGACTGCTGGTCTAAACTTATGCTAATGAGGGTTTGGAAAAGTAATAATGCTCTTGTTAGCCCTGAATCCCAGTCAGATTTACCTTACTTCTCTTTTCTCCCTGTTTAGGGGACGCAAGGGATTTAAGTCTGAATTGCACATCTCGGGGGTGTCGGGGTGCTGCGGATCTAGAGCACTGCATGGAGTGTGGTTCTTGGAAAAAGGACTAATATTGGTCTCAAACTATGCTAATTAGGGTTTGAAAAATGACCAATGGGATTGGTTCCATTTTATGCTAATTAGGGTTTGGAGACACGCTATTGGTCCAATTTCATGCTAATTAGGGCTTGGAAACTAGCGCTATTGGTCAACTCTCTAGGCTCCACCCTCATGCAGATCAGGAAGGGAGAGGTAGAGGTCCTCAGCTAGGGCTGCAGCCTTGCCTGGACCCTAACCTGGCTTCTCAGGACGACTGGTTGGCTCACTACTCAGGCCAGCCACCCCTGTATGGCGGGTTCACGCAGCTTGGCAGCCACAGAGCCATGTCACCAGGGCCTCATGCTAGGCAAGCGCTGTACCACTGAGCCACATCCCTGGTACCCTACGCCCCTTCAGAGGTACCAGAAACAGCCCAGGGCAGCTGCAGAGAACTCGCTTTGACCTTCCACACCTGGCCATTTCTCTACAGGGTCTGACAGTCCCTCCAGGCTACAGGACACTGGGTACTTCCCCTCTGAAATAGTCCCCAAAGTTGCCTGGGCCCCAGCTTCTCACAACTACTAAGATCACCCACTTGCTGTGAGAGCTGTTGTCCCCCAGCAATTATTAATAGCGCCTCCTCCCCGTCTCAGAAGTATCCTGTGTCTGGGACAAATTGTTTGGCCACCCGCTTCCTAACCCTCCCCTGGCCAATGGCTGTGGGGAACATCTCAAGCTGTGTCTCCTTTCCTTCTTCCAAGTCACCCGAGTCCAGGTCGGATTTCTTTCACGATTTTTCTGAACGCCCCAGAGAGAAAAAGAAAAAGTGAAATGCGGTCAGCAAATATCTCTGCACCGGCCATGTCCCTTCCCTGGGGGCAGGGCCTGCTGGTTCCTTCTGTCCACCTGGTACAGCATACATAGGACATGCTCCCAGAAATGGGCTGACATTGAATGAAAAGCTATTTATTCCTTCTAGAAGGGAGCTTCTGCTTAATCCCAGGTAAGAGAACACCCTAGAAAGTGTTTTCCCAATTAAAAAAAATAAGCTAGGCCTGGAAGGGTACCTCAGGTGACATGAAGATAAGTTGGGGCTGGAGATGTGGCTCAGGAGTAGAGCACGTGCCTAGCAGGCATGGGGTGCTGGGTTCTGTGCGATAAATGGGACAGCGGGTGGCAGGAGAAAATAAAATGGGTTGGACTTGAGAAGAGATTTTTATTTTTTTATTTTTAGCTACTGGGGATTGAACCCAGAGCACTGAACCACAAGCCACATCCCCAGCCTTTTTTTACATATATGTTTTAGAGACAGGGTCTCACCAAGTTGCTTAGGGCCTCAGTACGTTGTGGAGGCTGACCTTTGAATTTGCAATCCTCCTGCCTCAGCCTCCTGAATCGCTGGAATAACAGGCTTGTGCCACCGTGCCCGGCTTCAGTATGACTTGTGTATAAAACTGGGGAGAGGCGACTCTGGAGACAAACCCCCCACCCCAACTCTGGTCTTTTCTTCCCCCCTCTTCGATACTCTGTGAGCCACACATTTACTGCTTGCTGGTGACACTTTTCTCAGCTGATTTTTCTCTCTGTTCCTGGCCCTTCGGGTGCTCCTCTGGAGCATGACCAGGCCAGGCCCTGCGAGGGCCACATCTGAGCTATAGGAAATCCTCTTATGTGCGCATGTGCGGCTTTGCTGACCTTGGGGATGGAGCTTCCTGCTCTCTGAGCCTCCTCTCTCTTGGGTTTGTTGAGGTGAGACAGAAAAAGTTCAGTGACCTCCATCCTGCAAGGAGCCCATAGACCAGATATAGCCCCCACCAGATACAGGCCCCGCCCCCAACCTTGGAGTTCCTGGCCTCCAGAACTGTCAGAAATAAATCTCCATGCTTTATAACTTTCCCAGTCTCTGGTATTCTGTTACAGCAATGCAAAATGATGCAAGACACAGGGTCCAGTCCCTTTCTGGTCAGCAGATGCTGGGACACTTCATCTCATCCCTTCTGTGGGACCAGGAGTATACAAAAGCAGGGGACTGTCTTGGCCACCACTCGATCTCACCACAGTGGTGACCAATAAAGCTCAGGTGACTGAATAGGCATTTTAGGCTGTGGCCAGGCTCTGGGGTGGGCTGGGGTTCCCCACCTGAGTGCTCAGCACTCCCGTATGATGTCCTTATGACACCCATAGGATCAGTGTCCCTGTTTGCTCATATAATAAGGGAGCTGTCCTGTTCAGCTCTCTCCCCAAGCTCATGAGTCAGGGACCAGGACAGACTACCTTGAGGGCACAATGCCTCTGGCTTGCAGAGATAATGCAAGGAACAGGGGTGTTTGGCCCGGAAAGAGGACGCCTCCAGGTAGAAAGTGACTCTGGACAGCTGTGGTGACCTTGGCTTGGACTCCACTCCTGTCAGGGAGGGGTTTCCTGGTTAGGTCCACTGTCACACCAGCCCGCTGGTCCCTGCCACAAAGCAGTTGCGGAGCCACAGAGTGTCACCTGGCTGGGTCTGAACGTGGGCGACAAGCATCTCCCAGGGCCCTGGAGCCACACAGGCACGGGGACCATTGCTGGGGCCAGCCCAGGTACAACAACCTGTATCACAACCTGGGATTTACCGTATCCTTTTGTTTGTTGATGTTTTCAGCTTCCAGACTCCTCTGATACAGCATGAAACCTATCCTGGTCGAAGTTCAATGCATGCCACCTAACGTGCGGACCAAGTAGGTGCTCAACGAATAACTTAACCACTAGCATTAACTGACAGGAAAGGAGATACCGGGGTCTCCCTCCCCTTTGCAAGGCCTGGAGGTGGTATTCACGGAGTTGCCAAATCAAGATTCTAGAACTGCTTCTCTACCATTCAAATAGTCCCATTTGGGGTTCTGAGGCCACAACCTTGCCACAGGGTTCCGGCGATTTCTGGCTCTCTAGCGACACCTGGTGGCCATACTTAGATCTGCATCTTCAAGAAAACCCCTCCCTATCTTTTAAGTCTCAAACTAAGATGGAGAGAAAGGAGGGGAAATTGAAAAAGTGAAACGGTGACCATGGTGGGTTCTGGGGAAAGCAACTTGGTGGTAAAAGAGGAAACCTAAGTGGTCACCATGGCGCACACCTGTCATCCCAGCAGCTCAGGAGGCTGAGGCAGGAGGATCAAGAGTTCAAAGCCAGCCTCAGCAACAGCAAGGCCCTGAGCAAGTCAGTGAGACCCTGTCTCTAAATAAAGTACAAAATAGGGCTGGGGAGGGGGCTCAGTGGTCGAGGGCCCCTGAGTTCAATCCCTGGTACAAAAAACAAAAGACTTAGAAACCTTTCTTTTTCCTGTGCCTCTTTTTAAATTTCTCTTTTCTTTCTCCTCCTCCTCCTCCTCCTCCTCCTTGGACACTGGGGATGGAACCCAGGGGTGCTCTACCCCATCCCTTTCTACTATTTATTTTGAGATAAGCTCTTGACAGGTGGTAGAGGCTGGCCTCAAGCTTTCGATCCTCCTGCCTCAGCCTCCTCAGTCGCTAGGATGACAGGTGTGCACCATCATGCACTACTGAGATCAGGTTCTAAAAACATTGCACAGACCAAACAATATCTGTCCATGTGGTAAGTTTGGTCCAGAAGCCACTTGTGTGGGACACCTGGTGAGCACGGGACAGGCAAATCCACCTCCCCAACCCTGCTTCAGACCCACCCGCCCAGCCAGCCATCCCCTGGGCACCTCCACAAGGACGACCTTGGGGACTTTCACAATCAACAGTTGCACCTCCATCCATCTTCCTCCCTCCTGATCAGAACCTCTTAGAGACGGGCACCTCTGGCCTCCCCCCTCCCTGTCTCATTTCGTCTCCTAAATCAATCCCTATTCTACGGCGCCCCTCTGTCCGCTCTGTTCCCATGACTCCAGGCCCCCACCATTTTCCAGGGGACCTTCCCCTCACCATCTCTTTCCTCTCTCTCGCTGCCTCACCAGCTCTCCTCACTGCCTTGGTCACTTAAGACCCAACAGAGGAGCAGGATGCTGTGGTGCACACTTATAATCCCAGTGACTGGAGGCTGAGACAGGAGGATCACAGTTTTGAGGCCAGCCTCCACAATTTATCAAAACCCTCAGTAACGGAGCAAGATGCTGTCTCAAAATTAAAATAAGGGCTGGGGATGTGGCTCAGTGGATGAGCACCCCTGGGCTCCATCCCCAGTACCAAAGAAAAAAAGAAAAAAGAAAAGTCACCTGCTGGTGACAGAGTAGCTCCTCCCCCTCTCCTCTTATATTCTTTGTAAAATGGGGGACTTACCTCCGAAACTCCAAAGTGGCTCTTATTTTCCTTCCAAATCTGGCCCCAGATATATATCTTTTTAACCTGCAGAGTAGGATATGAACTTTGAATTCATGGCAAATCTGTAAAAACCAGGAAACTTAGCGTCTAAGACTGGGAACACTTCCGGAGGGTGGGGGGAGAAGTGAGACCCTTTCTCTCAATAAAATGCAAAATAGGGCTGGGGATGTGCCCCTGAGTTCAATCACCAGGTTTGTGCAATACCGATTTTTACCACCAGAGGGAAGCAGAGCTGCAAAGTTGACCTGGGTCCAAAGGGCCCCAGAAGTTCCTCTCCCAGGAACTTGGCTGGGGAAGGGTCAGGAAGCAGGAGGGCCCAGGAGGGCTGGGAACGGTGTCTGACCCTGAGTGAGACACAACTAGGGGTGGCCCGAGGAGGAGCAGCGAAGGTTTATAGAGAAGGAAATTCTGGAGCCAGGCCCTAGCCTCTGCAATAGCTGGGACTTCAGGTGCTTGCTATCACATCTGCTTGATGGTGATTATCTCTTTTTGTTTTGCTTATTAAATGTAACTGAGTTGGTTGTTGTTTTTTTTTAATAAAGTGTCCATTCTGACCCAGACCGCCGATATGCCTTGCCTAAATACCTGCAGCCTGAACACATTCATTCAAAAAGAAATTAGCGCCTGGATGTGGCGGTGCATGCCTGAAATCCCAGCTGCTCAGGAGGCTGAGGCAGGAGGATCGTGAGTTGGAGGCCAGCCTCAGCAACTGCAGAAGGCCAGATGCAGGACGATGGCCACGTGCATCTTAATTTGAGCCACCAGAAACCAGTCTGCAGCCAAGAGGGACAGGATTAGCTTTACCTTTATAAGGCCGATTTGGCCACTGTGGAGGGACAGAGGAGACAGAGAGGCCACCAAGGGGCCACGGAGGTCTTAAGGTGAGAAGCGTGGGGTTGACTGGGAGGAGCTCTTCCTGCCCTGCGCGACAGGCACTTGAGGGGCAGGATGGCAGCACCATCCTCTGCTCTCATATCCTGTTGCTCCAGACCCCTCACCCACCAGAGTCCCCCTCCCTTCTGTGATAATTTCCGGAAGCTTCTCCTAGGGTGACAGGGAGGGGCTCCCACCCCTTCCCACTTCTTGTCTTCCCATCTTCTAAACAACTTCCTGGCCCCCTCAAGCCTTCTCCCTAAATCAGTCAAGACAACCCGGTGCAGGTGTGCACAGCACTTTACAGTTGGCACGCCCACCTCCTCCAGCCTCCCCCACCTGCCTCCAGTCCCCACTCAGTGAATCCCATCGGGGGTTCATTCACTGATTGGGTTGAGGCTCTCATAACCCCATCATTTCTCCTGCAAACCCTCTTGCATCATCTCACACGTGAGCTTTTGGGGGACACCTCCCATCCAGACCGTAACACCCACAATCCTGTTTACTGCTAGCCCCAAGAGACATTTGTGGCACTGCAATTTCCAAGGTGTCCACAGAGACATCTCCCCCTCCACGTTCTCTTCATTCAAGGTGACACTGATTGCTCTCCCTGGAGAGGTGGGGTCTCTGCTTCCTTCCCTAGAATCAGAGTGGCCATGTGACTGTGGCACAAGGAGTGCTATGTGACTTTCGAGCCTCAATCACCCAACACGCACAGCCTCCACCTGTTTCTCTGGGGACACTCGCTCTTGGAGCTCAGCCTCCATGCTGTGAGGAAGCTCAAGTGCCACAGCTAGGACAAGTGTCCCTTTAAAAAGGACCTAAGGTTTGGCCACCAGCCTGTGCTGCTACTGGGAGGTGGTGAATCCTTTGGAAAGTGGGACTAATGGAAAGAAGCGAGGTCATTGGGGACATGTCCTTGAAAGAGATGTTGGGTTCCTTGTCCCTTCCTGTCTCTTTCACTTCTCGGCCACCATGAGGTGGGCAGACATTTCTCCAGTGAGCTCTTGCCATTATTATCACCATAGGCCCAAAGAGATGGGACCAATCAATCCTGGATGCAAACCTCTGAAGCTGTGAGCAAAAACAAACCTTTCCTCTTTTTAAGTTGATTATCTCAGGTATTTTATTACAGTAGCAGAAAGCTGACTAATAGATTATTAGTCCATATGGATAGATCATGGGTGGGTTTTCCAGTCAACACCTTCACCTGTAGTCTCAGGTGTCTACCAGGTATGTGAGTAAAGAAGCCTTTGAACTAAAGCTTTTGGGTTGCAACATGAGAAGTGATCCTGAACAAGAATCACCTTGCCAAACCCACTCAACCAAATCCACTCGGGAGATAACAGTAAAGTGACCATTGCTGCTTCTATACAGTCTAATAATAACAATCTTGTCCAGAGGAAGAAACAGTGTCCATAGTGATAAGTGCGGTGCAGAAAAATAAAACCAAACAAGGGATGGGGAGGCACTGGTATTTCCGTTCAGGGGGTCAAAGGAGGCATCTCTGGTGGTGATATTGAGGATGAATGCAAACTCAGTTCCCAGATTTCCAATAGAGCTGACCTTGAGGCTCATTGGATGGACTTGAGTCATGTGCCTATCCCTGAGCCAATCAGCGTATGTGTGGCTAAAGTGGAGCATTCTGATTGGTCAGACCTGGACCCACCCCAGAACCAGGAGGCGGGAGAACTCAGGCTCGGGGTTCTTCTACTCAGAGTCCATTTCTGGGGGAAAGGAAAGGCTTGGAGGATCCCAGCTCCTCGGAGTCGTCCCACATATGATGAGGTGGCCCCATGTCAGGAGTCCCTTTCACCAGGACTCTGTATCCGTTTGCTAGGGCAGCCATACTAGGGTGGGGAGGGAGGTTCTCCCCTCTGGCTTTGCTAGAAGAGTGGGCAGCAGTTCTTGGCTCCTGGGCTTAGAGATGAATCCTGGGAACCTTTGAGCCCAACAGCCCGTGGCCATCTCCACCTCCATCTCTGTGTCTCAATTTTTTTTTTTTTTTTATTCTGAGACAGGTCCTCACTAAGTTGCTCAGGGCCTCGCTAAACTGCTGAGGCTGGCCTCCAACTCACGATCCTCCTGCCTCAGCCTCCCAAGCTGCTGGGATTACAGGCGTGCACCGTGTGCCTGGCTGGGCCAGCTTTTAGTATCCATATTTCAGATGGCCATCGTTTGAGGGTTGTCCCCTCTTGGGAGGACAGTTGGGGTGAGGTGGCCCTGAGGGACCAGGGACAATTCTCAGCAGAAGGGGGCATCTGTGTGGTCTTTATCAGCAGCACTCACAGCAGCTGGGGAAACGACAGTCCATCAGAGGGGACCTGGGGGGACAGGCAAGCAGGCGGACAGGCAAATTCTTTCAATTCCTTACACCTCAGTTTCCCATTTGGGGATTTGGGAAGTTCCAGCATTAGGAACAGCTATGAATTAATACAATTTATTAATATTATTATTCATATCAATATAATTAATGTAATTCGTGTTTTTGAAATGGTACACATGGGTAGTGGGAAGCGTTAGCTATTATTAATTACCCTTTGTGCCATCCTGGGAATGAAAGACTAGCCTCTGGGCATCCTTCCTAACCAACTTCAAATAAACCCAGAAGAAAGAAAGAACGAACCCAGTCTTCAGTGACCGTTTCCCAACTGGGGAAACTGAGGCCCGGCCCAGAGCTGACTCCCGGGGTCAGACAGAACCAGACTTGAACCTCAGCTGTGTGACCTTGGGCCAAGAGCTCTGCCTCTCTGGGACTCAGTTTCCCTGGTCTATAAAATGGGTCACCAGGGTAGCTCCAGTTAGACCTTAAATGATGCTCTCAAAATGAACATTGTTCGTTTTTTTGTGTCTTAACCAATATTATCCTGAAAGATGGACGCATAGGTGGCTGCTGGGGAGGGAGGGGACACGTTTCAGCCCAGGCTCCTCGGACACCCGGGCCTCTCTCCTAGAGCCGGACTCCACTGCGCGGCCTCCCATTTCAGCAGAGGCCCCTGTGGAGGTCTGGGCTGAGGTCCCACCAGGAAATCAATACCCAGGCACTGACGCGTCCGCTTCCAGCCCCACCGAGTTGCTTAATTGTACAGAGCTGGAGCTGTCGCCAGGTCCTCAGCGTCACAGCCCGGTGGTGACAGCCGTGCTTGGCGGAGAGGTACATTCATTAGGGAGACAGCTTTTATCTGGGCTTTCCAGAGGGACCGGGGACGGGAGCCCAGCGGCCAGGCTGTTGACAATGACAGCCAGCCGTCATGTAGGGCATGCAGGGGGTCCCAACAGCTTTCCAGATAACCACTGAGGACACCCTGGGAAATCAGCGCCGGGGTCACTGTACTCGACCCCCACTTTCCAAGTGGGGCCATCAAAGCCCAGAGAAGTCCTGTAACTAGGTCAAGTTCACTCCGATTCACTGACCAGTCTTCAGGGATCCTTTCCCAGTTGGGGAAACCGAGGCTCAGCCCAGAGCTTACACATGGAGTCAGACACAAGTGGACTTGGACCTCAGCCGTGTGACCTTGGCCCCAGCCCTGTGTGGCCTCTCGGTGATGAGGGTATTCACCCACTGATTTTTTTTCTGCTGCTGGGGATTGAACCCAGGGCCTTGGAATGGCCGAGCCACATCCACAGCCCTTTTTATTTATTTATTTTTAAAATTTGAGGCAGGATTTCGCTAAATTGCTCAGCCTGACCTTGAACTTGAGATCCTCCTGCCTCAGCCTCCTGAGTTGCTGGGATGACAGGTGAGCCCTTGACTCAGGGATAATGATGTCAAAAAAGGTGAGGTTGCTAAAAATAGCAGCTTTGAGGATCTCCGAATTTCCCGAGCCAGGTATTGGTGGTGCTAGGTCCCTCTACAAACATACTTTATTTTACTTCAACTCTCTGGTGCAGGGTTGAGTATCTCCATTTTATAAATGGACCCGCTAGGCTGTGGTGTGGGGGGCAAAAGTCCTTGCCCAAGGTCACACAGGTGATCAAGGAAGACTTTGCTTCTTTTTGCAAAATCTGGGTTCCTTAGCCAGGCACGGTGGCACCACACCTGTAATCCCAGAGACTCAGGAGGCTGAGGCAGGAGGATTGCAAGTTCGAGGCCAGCCTCAGCAAATTAGCAAGAGCTCCTTTCAAAATAATAATAATAATAAAAGAATAATAAAAAGGTCTGGGGGTACAACTCTGGTAGAGTGCCCCTGGGTTCAAGCCCTAGAACAACGAAAAAAATCTGTGCTTGTCAAGGCTGATTTCAAGGCTGGATGCTATTATTTTCTTTGTTTCCTTGGGGTGCTGGGGACGGAACCCAAGGTCAGCCCACGTTTGGCCGGCCCTCCACCTGTGGAATACAGGCACTAGCCAGTTCTTGCTGGGTGGCTTCTTTAGGGAGGTCACCACCCATCTCAGGACCTTCGTGCACTTTTAACTCATCCCTGGGTCTTCCCGAGTTCCCACGTGCACAGACTGGAACTGAGAACTGGGACAGGATCAGAAAGGAAGGGGACATGGTGATGACTGCCCAGGAGATGTCAGACACCTGCTCCAGCCCTCGGGCAGAATTTTCCTTCAGATCCTTTCTTCCTGATGGGGCACAGACCACCTGCAACCCAATGACTGGAGTGTGCATTCAGGAGGCCTGGGGTGGGGCCATATATTTAACGAATCAATCAATTCATTCATTAATTTTGTACCAGACATTGCACCCAGGGGCGCTTAACCACTGAGCCACATCCCCAGGCCTTTTTATTTTTTTGTCTTGTGACAAGGTCTTGATAAGTTGCTCAGGACCTCGCTAAGTTGCTGAGGCTAGCCTCCAACTTAAGATCCTCTAGCCTCAGCCTCCTGACCACTAGGATTTTACAGGCGTGCACCACTGCACCCTGCTGGGATCTGAATTTAATAAGCATGCCGGAGGAAGCCGAGGCACAGCCTCCCAGGTTATATGAAATTAGACTCTGCCCTGCTCGCTCTTAATTAAAATGTCACTGGAAGATGCATGTGCCAAGATGTCACAACGAATCCCACTTTTGTGCATAATTAAAATGCACCAGTTAGAAATTAATTTTGAAAAGTCTTAGGACCAAAGTTTCAAGAAAGTTATTTTAGTCATTTAACAGATTGCTACAAAACAGATTGCTATAGAATTAAACACGTTTTAAAAATTATTAAAGTAGGGGCTGGGGTTGTGGCTCAGTGGTAGAGTGCTCACCTAGCATGCATGAGGCACTGGGTTCGATCCTCAGAACCACATAAATGTAAAATAAAGATACTGTGTCCACCTAAAACTATAAAATAAAATAAATATTAAAAAAAATTATTAAAGTAAATTGAGCATGGTGGCTCACGCCTGCGATCCCAGCTACTTGGGAGGCTGAGGCAGGAGGATCGCAAGTTCGAGGCCAGCCTCTCCTACTTTGTGAGACCCTGTCTCAAAACAAAATGAAAAGGGCGGGGGCTGTCGCTCAGTGGTCGAGGGCTTGCCTAGCGTGTGCAAGGTCCTGGGTCCGATCCCCAGGACCCCCACCTGCAACACACACTCACGCACATAAGCAATTCATGTTCTTGTTAAGCATCCAGACAGCGTAGGGCACTGAAGGACTGTAATAACTTTCAGCTCTTCTACCCATTCGACATCCTAAAATGGTCCCTAGACAACCACTCTGGCCTGGTTGCTACTCTGAGCCACCCTGGAGGCTCAGAAGGGAGGAGAGCTTAAGCTCAGGGGTTCAAGGCCAGCTTGGGCAACATAGTGAGACGCATCTTATGTCTTAATCCTGATTTTCCAAACTTTGTCTGAGTCCAGCCTGAGCCAAAAGCACTTAGAGCAGCCACGGCAAAATTCAGATCCCTGGGCTTCCACCCAGAAATGGATCCAAGTCTGTGTTTTCTTTCTTTTTTTAAAAATTTAATTTAATTTAATTTTTTTGGTACCAGGGATTGAACCCAGGGGCCCTTAACCACTGAGCCACATCCGCAGCCCTTTGTTATATATTTGTTTTTAGAAGCAAGGTCTCACTGAGTCGCTGAGGGCCTTACTAAGTTGCTGAGGCTGGCCTCCACCTTGCGATCCTCCTGCCCCAGCCTCCGGACCCGCTAGGATTACAGGCATGCACCACAGCGCCTGGCTACAGGCCGTATTTCCATACACAAGGCCTTATTTTTGCCCGGGTGCTCTCAGCCTCCTGGTAAATTTTGAGCTCCATGCCTAAGTGACCCTGAGTGTTGGGAGACCATGAAGAAGGTGGAGTTTCTTCAAGAGTCAGGAAAGCAGAGGCTCAGAGACAGGAGGGGGCTCACCCTGCTGCGTCTCTCCCACTGGGGAAACTGAGCCCCAGCTGGTGCCTAAGCCAGTTCATGCCAGCCGCCTCCCGGAGGCTGGCAGCCCCCCAAGCCTCTCCCCTCCTTTCTAAGATGTGCGCTTACCCCAGCTCCCACCTCCAGACCATCCAAGTTGTTTTCATTATATTTTATTAGTCAAGTGGAACATTAATTAAATCTGAGAATAATAGACCCAGAGACCAAAAAAAAAAAAAATTGTAAAGACCAAGGAAGAAAAGAAATGTCTTCAAAGGCCTCCGCCGTAACTGGAACCCAAGCAGAAGGCCTTGGGACGCGTTGGGGGTGACAGGGGTCAGGTAGGCTCAGCGTCCTCTTTTATTAGTTTATTATTATTGTTATTGTTTTTTTTGTTTGTTTGTTTGTTTTGGTACTGGGGATTGAATCC